CCTGCCCCTGCCCCTGCCATCCTCAGTGCATGGGTGGACCTGCCCCTGCCCCTGCCATCCTCAGTGCATGGGTGGACCTGCCCCTGCCCCTGCCCTTGCCCCTGCCCCTGTCCCTGCCCCTGTCCCTGCCCCTGTCCCTGCCCCTGCCCATCCTGGTCACTGCCACCCACCCCCCTGCTGCTCTCTTCCTCACCTTTGCCCTCCACATGTCTTCACCTTCCGACACTTTCCACTCAGATACTGACCTTTACATTGACAGTCAGTCAATAAGTGAAACCCTTGCTTCCCTCAACCTAAAATAAATCCATCATTAATTCACTGATGCTGCAAAAACTTGAGTTCCTTTGAGATTCTAGCCTGGGTGGCCAAGACTATGAACCAACAATAGATGAAACTAAACAAAATAAAGACATGAGCCCCGCAGTATTTGGTGCTTTGGGAAAGTCGGAGAACTGCACCCTGTGACAGATATTCCGAGAAGACGGTGTAGGTGAGGTGACCGCAGGCAGAAACATGAAAAAAGAAGTGAGAGACCGGAAGGGGGGGGGGGGTGACAGCAGCCGGAACACCCTGAGCACAGGGAACGCTGGGGTCTGGTGAGGAGGAGGGAGCCGGCTGAGCAGAGGAACTGGGGCAAGGCGGTATAAATGAGGTCAGAGTGGGAAGGTGGGGTCAGGCCACAGGCTTGGGAAGTCTGAGGCCTCAACTTTTATTCTCAGGGACCCAGGAAGCCCCGGCCTCCCCAAACTTGCATCTCTAAAGGATAACCCTGGCTGCTGTTCCCAGCACAGAAGGAAAGAGGAAGGAACAGGGAATGACCCAGCAGCCTCCCGGGGAGGACAGGTGCCTGGAGTCTCAGGGCGTCCAGGGGAAGGTTGTTGGAGGCTGGTTCATTGCAGGCTGGATCCACAGTTTCCCTGGCGGGAGGAGCGTACAGCATGAAGGAAAAGAGTCAGACATGACTAGAAAATATTTATCTTAGGAGACTGGACATCTCGGATATAATCTTTCATTCTAACAGTCTTCATAAGTGCATGTCTCCTGACTCATTTTAAGTTTTTAGAGACTTCAAATGTCCATAGACAAGTCTAGACAAATGACCTGCAGGTGAGGGGGCTTCCCGCAGACCACAGGCTCTCTTCCACGCTTTGGGGTATTTTCCTCTTCACAGCTCAGTGGTTTTCAGGAGGAGGAAACATTGCATGAGGAGGAAATGAATTCAGAGCATGTGCTCTGCACCCAACCAGCGCCTTTTACTCACCGGGATTACTTTAGCTTTATTTCCAGCTCTAATAAATGTGCATAGCTGTATATTTCCAATCAGAATGGGAATTAAATGAACATAACATACCAGTTCTTCTACTGTGGCAGGACCTTTTGATCTCAGACGAAGAGTTCCTCTTGAAGTACCAATTTTTTCTGTTGACGTCTTTCCAGCTTTTGACCTTGGTCCTATTTCTATAAAAACATGTGAGTAGGAAAGGCATGAACTCAGAAAGAATTCCAACAGACTGTGTGAAAGTGGAGGCATTTCCTTAAGGAAACAATATGTAGTTGTGGCAGATTTGATAAAGAACTTGCCTTCTTACAGAATCACCTAAAACACAACAAGCCCACCTGGCCTCCGTTATTCTCGTGGGTGTGTCTATGGGACAGCTGGATCAACAAAACAAAAGCATGCCCTGAGATGGGCTGGAAGCTTTGGGGAAGAAACAGTAGGATAAAGAGTTGGCTTTATTCTCAGAGCAAAAAGCTGTGAGAGGCCAGACAGCAGCCTGGAAATCTCATCTGACCTTCATCTTGATCTTGAAGAAAAGAAAGAGAGGTCTGAGAAGGGCCAGAGCACTGGAACTTGACGCTTTGTAGACAAAAAAAATCCACCAACACACGGACTGCCCTATGAGGCCTGTTATCAACCCCATTTTACAAATAAGGGAGGTAAAAATCAGTGCAGCTGAGATTCAAACCAAGTCTTGCCAGGCATGGTAGCTCCTGACTAATCTCAGCACTGGAAAGGCTGAGGCAGGGGGATTGTTAAAATCAACTCATATGATGCCAGACTCTTGCCTCTTTATTCAACCTCTGCAGCCCCACACCGACCAGAAGCTGGAAGAGCAAATTGAAAGGTGACATACGGAAGGGTGAGGTCGGGAAGAAAAAACCTGGGGCAGTTCCACAGAAGGAACCAGGGGCCGTCCAGAGGGGCCAGCCCTGTCCTGGGGCTGCCTCTGCCTGCACTTTATTTGTTCTTCTTTTGCAATGAACGGAGTGGCTTTGCAAGGCACTAATCCTAAGCAGCAACAAACCCAGGGAGGGCAGGGAGGGGAACTGGGAGAGGTGTGCCCCATCTAGACCTCTCCAGTAACACATGCCCTGTGGGAACAGGGGCCCTGCTTGACCAGATTCACTCACTGTTTGCCGGTGAAACTGGATATTCAGAGGCTTGTATCAATTTCCTGATTTTTTTTTTCAGTTTAAACTATTATACCCGACCCTTTAAAAATAACACAGTGGCAAAAATAAAAAGAAATCAGAGTCTAAGTAAGCACAGGCTATCAATCCATAACTTCTGCAAATGTGCCCAAGCCCCTTTGGCTGGGGCCTCTCTGCAGCTACAGCTTAAGGCCAGGTCCAGGGGCTCTACCACCGGGGAGACAGCTGGGCTTGTAGACAGTGAGACAGAGCAGGCTGCTAGATGCAGCAGGTAGAGGGTTCTGTGCAAGCTGTAGAGGTACAGGCATCATAGGTACATGTGGACGCATTCTTGATAAGACCCCTAGACTGGCCCCCATCTTCTGCCAGGTTTTGTTTTCTTGCTGGGAATCTAGGGCAATGGGATTAAGAATCTTACACATTCATTTTAATCTGAATTAGGGACAGAATCTCCAAAACACAAGTTTTCCTCTGAAAGTTACCATCGGATGAATAGACAGGCTCCCCAAAAGGAAGGAAGCCATAAATGGTGGTGAGCCCAAATGCTAGTCGGTGACTGAGCAGCTTTCCAGGTCACCGAAGCTGCCCCTCCAAATGACCGCCAGCACTGGCCTCGCCAGTTACTACATGTCCCCGGGGGAGAAAGAATTCTCAGCTGCTCAGAGCACAGTTCCAAAAAGAGTGTCCAATGAGAAAGAATAGGTCACTCCGTCTTCAGCACTGGCCAGCAATGGAAGTGTGCCCAGCCAAGGGTCACATCCTAAGGTAGGAAAAGTCAGGTGTTGTAGGATGTTATTTTAACTGGGCAGAGATATGTTACATTTGTCTATGCTGTGGAACATTACTTTAACTATGTAAAGACGTGTTACATTTGTCTATGCTGTGGAACATTACTTTAACTATGTGACAGTGTGTTACATTTGTTTCTGCTGCCTTTGTTAACTATGTAGAGATGTGTTGCATTTGTTTATGCTGTAGAATATTACTGTAACTATATAAAGGTATGTTACATTTGTTTCTGCTGCCTTTAACGATGTAGACATGTGATACATTTGTTTATTCTACATTTGTTTAATTATGAAAAGATGTGTTGCTGGTTCACCTTGCCTGCCTAAGGCACCTGGTCTAATAAAAAGCTGAAGAGCCAAAAGCTAGGCAGGAGAGGGATAGGTGGGGCTGGCAGGCAGAGGGAATAAGTAGGAGAAATCTAAGCTGGGGGAGGAGAGAGTGAGGGAGAAAGAAAAGCACATGCCTAGAGCCAGAAGCCAGGCAGCTGCCGGTCAGAAGTGAAAAGCAATGAATGTAAGGTATACAGAAAGAAAGGAAGGTAAAAAGCAAACTTAGGTCAAGACAAACAGATTAAAATATGAGCTAAGCTAAGGCTGAGCATTCAAAACTAATAATAATTCTGTGTCCTGATTTGGGAGCTGGTTGGTAGCCCAAAGAAAGCCTGCTACAGTCAGGCTTAGCTGAACAGTACCAGCAAGTGAACAACACACACAAAGGCACACACCACACCAAAGTTTTACCATGTACTAACAGAGCTCAAAACCGTGCAGTGCACACATGCTCACATCACTCCACCTCACTAGAGACTAAACAGCACACAAAGTACGCTGGGTGGGTGGCACATCGACACCACCACCACTACAATGTCACCATGCCACCTGCCCAGCAGCAATAGCGCACGCCTTTAATCCCAGCACTCGGGAGGCAGAGTCAGGCGGATCTCTGTGAGTTCGAGGCCAGCCTGGTCTACAGAGTGAGATCCAGGACAGGGACCAAAACTACACAGAGAAACCCTGTCTCAAAAAACAAACAAACAAGCAAAAAATTTCTTCAGAGTAGACAGTAAACTACTCCCTTAACACATTTATGATTTATGCTAGTATTACATCCATGTGTCTAATTGCATGCATATTAGCATCTGGTTCAACAAGTGTTGCTCAAAGGTTTGTGAACTTGATCTAGAAAATGAAACAGCTCCATACGCTGTTGAACCAATAGAAAGTTTCTGGTGTTTGCAAAGCTAAGGACCCAGATGCAGGACTGTGCGCCTTCCGAAAGGTGTGATCGGCCTTCTGTGAATTCAGCTGGCCTCTGGGATAGACGATTTTAATTGCCAAGTTGACACAATCTCAGTCTCGGTGAGAGGTTGTCTCAGTCAGGTTGGCCCTGTACATGGCCTTGGGGCACCTTAATTGATGTAAGAAGACCCACCCTAAAAGTCAGCGGCACCATGCCCCAAGTTTGGGTCCTGGACTATAGAGAAACTGAGCTGAGCCGAAAGCATGTGCGAGTTCCTTCCTTCTGCTCTCAACTGTAGATGAGAGAGGACTGTTTTCAGTCCCTGTCGCCATGACTGCCCTGCTACAGTGGACGGTAGCCTGGAACTGGAGCTAAAATAAATATTTTCTCCACTTTCTGCCAGGATATTTTATCATAGCAACAAAACAAGGCTCGGGTGAGTCTCCACTTTATCTTACTCTTTGCTGCAACACCAGAATCTAGAACAGGAAGCTATGAAAGTCGCAGTGTGAATATGATTAATAAGTTACCTTTAGAGCTACAGAAAATGAGCAAAAATACAGAAGTTTCCCATATACTCCATGCCCACCCCAGACTACCACCCCATAATCAGCACCCCACCAGAGCAGGAACATACCCCAACTGTCCTCATCACCCAGAGTTCATGGCTGATACCGAGGCTCACCTCTGGTGTTCTATTTGTCTGTGAAACTGCTTAATGGCATGCACCCATCACTGAGTATCATGCAGAATATTGTCACTGACCCAAATCTCCTTATCACAGAATTTATTTTTATGATCACCTTTTTTTTTTTTTTTCTGACAACCGTTTTCCTTGGATCATGTGATATCCAAACTAACCACTTGGTGGCACCAAAGCAGAAGTTAAACATTAAGCTCTGGCTTAGACCAGCCTCCAGATTGCCGCCACCTAGGTTTTCCAAGATTAGAGGAGGTTTCAGGTAAGTCAACTTGTCCCCACAAGACAACAGGCAGGGTGATCCTGCTCATTCAGGCTGAGGTGGTGGAGGAGAAAACAGGTCTAGTGTTGGGGGAATGTTTTAAAGATTCTGAATGTTGATAGTCTGGCCTAATTTGGAGTACAGCCTACCTAAGCATGTCTGGGCAGTCAGGCCAAGCCCTCAATCCGTCAGTTCACAGAAATGGGTGGACACAAGACTTCTCTCCGGGATGAGTTAGGAGAAGATGTAGTTTAGACTGTAGACTATGGTGACCAGCCCTAACCTGTGAAATCACTGCACGCATCCGTAAGGGCTCCCAGGTCCACCCAGGTGCATGCATACCCGCCTCAGACATCACTCAGGATACAGAACGCTCCAGCTTTCGCTGCTTCTGTAGTTGAACTTCCTATCACCGAGAGAGCTGTGTTCCTCTCCAAGCCTTCTCGTGGCCGTTATATCTTTCCCTCTAATTATGTGATTTAATTTTAAAGAACATGAGCTGATGACGACATGGGGAGCTATAATTGCTGTGAAAATGAGGCTGAGTGCTCGGGAAGAACTCCATAAGAGTTGAAAGAACAGGGGTGTGGGCAAGATGGCCCTGGAGATTAGGAAAAGTATGTTAACAACCATAGTTTCACATACCTGACTCTTTTTTTTTTTTTTTTTTTTAATGGAGGCGCTCACATGTGTTCATTAAGGTTGTGATTATATAAGAAAAATTTCTGGTTAGGAATGACAGTCATACTCCAGAGACAAAGGTGGGAAGATCAGAAGTCCAAGGCCAATCTTGGCTACATAGTAAATTCAAGGCCAGCCTGGGCTACACGAGACCCTGAAAGGAAGGAGTGAAACAGCTGAGCTGGGCAGGTTTCATACGATTCCGTTTGTGTGCTCAACCCAAAAGAAAGGCTTTTCAGGAGCCGAGGGACAAAGACAGTCGCCATGTGCGTCCCATCCACAGAACCACACAAAGTTGTCCTCTGACCGCCACCCATGTGCTGTGACACGTGTGTGCCACATATACACACTAAC